AAGAGATATTCTGAACTTTTCTTTCACTGGAACTTTTCATCCTGGCAGCCATACTATGATGATACAGACAGGAACGGGAGGGAGGGCTAACAGTGGTAGTTCATATTTCTGACTAAATGGTTTTGTCTTAAAGATTCTTGCCTGCCCATGGTCTTAAGTATGTGCAGAATGATATGCAGCACATAAAATCCTGTATGTGGGTATGAAGGTGGCAACAACTGTGTAATGATTGAGATAGTCTGTGGAAGTATCTAGATTAATATAATGGAGTCTTAAGTCACATGTTTGTGACTATCAGAGAAATGGTTGTCTGTGTTTTGCCTATCCATGTTCTCAGCTTAGCTCTAATGCCATTTCCTCAGTGAAGACTTTTGTGACCTCCATGTGCTGCACCCCTTCCCGAGCAGAACACAAGCAAGCTTTCTTTGAACTCCCCCATTTCATTCATAGGGACAGTACAGTGATATAATTAAGAGTCTAAGCTCTGGAGTTAAGACTGCCTGGATTTGAATCCCTGCTCCACTTACTAGCTCTGTTAACATTGGGCAAGTTACTTAACCACTCTATGCCTCAGTTTTCTCATCTGTAAAATGGAGATAATAGGACTAATTTTACATTTGATTGTTGTTAAGACAATACATCCTGGCACTTAGGTAAGCAGTCAGTAAAGATTAGCTATGAATATTGTACCTCTCCTGGCATCTCATTCTATCCTGTATTATCAATACAGGCATTATGTCTCCCATTAGACTGGCACCTCCTTCAGTGCAGGAACCATGGTTCATTTATCTTTACTAAGTGAACTGCTGTTGAAGAGCTTCAAGGATCAATGAATAGGGATAGGGGCAGGTCTCAGAGGAGGAGGTTGGAGGAGGTCGTTGGAGGAGGGTGTGATAAGGTAGATGAAGACAGGCTTTGAATCCCAAATGCCTTTGAAACTCACTATACATTTACTGTGTGCCTCCCACCTTTCCTTCCTTCTTTCTTTCCTGAAAGGAACGAAAATGAGGGCAATAATAGAACCTACCTCACAGGAATTGAGAAGATTAAATGAATGAACATATAAAGATCTTAGAAGGATGCCTGACATATACTAAGTGCTCAATGGATGTTACTTCTATTTTTCTTTTTCTTAATTTTTTTTCTAATTATGAAAGCAATACATATTTGTGGTAGAAAAGAGTGAAAATGTAGGAAAACTGCCACCATAGTGAAATGTATGAACAAATAAGAAGTAACAGATGGGGGGATAACTGCAATAATAAAAGTATTACGAGATGCAGAGGCGGCTTGGAGGAAATAATGAAAGCACGGCTGGAAGGTGGCATGCACGATGCCCTGGACAGGCTCCACAGAAAAGGTGCAGCTTATAATGAGGTTTTCAAAGATGAATAGGAGTTTGTTAGGTGGACAAGGAGGGCATTCAGGAAAAACGAACAGCGTGTGCAAACAGCATTAAACAGCATTTGCGCACCTGTAATTGTGGTTCTTCATCACTCCAGTGTATGTGGGAGGGAAGAAAGGTGGGAGTCAGGATGAGGAGTGTTAGGAGGTAGGATGGGAAAGTACGCAAGACTAGGAAATCAAAAGCCCTGCAACATGATAAAGATTTTGGACTTTGACCTAGGGGATGAGGAGGGGCCGCTGAAAGGGTTTGAGGTGCTGTCATCAGTTAGCATTTAGAGGGATAACTCATGCATAGGTATAAAGAATGGATTGAAGAAAGACTTTGGAAACAAAAAGACCTGCTGTATGGCTGGTGCCAAAGTCCCAGAACAAGTTAAGAACAGCCTAGGCCCATGCAGGAGTCGCAAGAATGGTTAAGAAAGGATGGGCTAGGATATAGACAGACAAGCTGTAGGGGTAAGGAGATGGAAACGATTCATCCAGAATAATTCCCAGGTTTCTGGCTTGGCTAACTGGGAAGTTGATGATGTCAGCAACCAAAGTAGGGAATACAGAAGGAAAAATATGCTTGTGGAAGAAGAAAAGAAATTATCATTACTGGAGAAACCACTCTGGTGACCATATTTATCTTTGTATATAGAAAATAGTCCATGTAATTTTTGATTCATTTAAAAATCTTCAGTTCATTACTGACATATTTAAAATAATGCATCTGATTGGGCTTTCTTTTCTTTTTGAAGTAGAAAAAATTTCAACTGTACAAATAATTTATGAAAAAAAATATTTAGGGGCTTACAAAACTAACCTTTTAATTAAAAAGAAACATTTTGTTAAGATGTCTCCATCATCACTCCATGGTTCACATTCTGTCAGCTGACACATTTAAGTAAAACCAGGTTTTTCCCTTACGTGGACACTTAACACATAATATCCCTTTCCAGAATTATTCGAATTGGATTTCAAAGAACAGGCATAACATGGGATGTGTGAGGGAGGGGGAGTACTAGGAATGAAACTGCTTTTACTATGACTGATAATGTCCTTGAAAATCTTGCCCATCCCTCTCATTTTACAGATGAGAAGGCAAAACTAGAAGCCAACAGTGGAAGGCAGAAGCTAACAAGAAGGCAGAATTCAGGTCAACTTAATTTCTAGCAATCAGAATGCTCCATGTAGAATTGCCTGCTTTTGTCCAGTGCAAAGACCCTCTCGTCCTTGAAGATATTACAATAAAGAATGGATAGTCATCTGTCAGAGGTACCATTGAAAGTTTCTGCACTGAGTGGGAGGCCGAAGGTGGTTTTTAAGGCCTTCTTGGACTGATTTTTATTGATTGGATGTGAGGAGCTGGAGCAGGACACTGGAACACTGTGAGCGAACAAACTCATAAGTGTGAATGTAGGGTGTGTAGGGGGCTTTGTTATCATCTTGCTATTTGATGTGATAAAGATTCTTTGCTTGACCAAACCTTGCTCAGGTTCCAGAACCTTCTCCTAGGTCCAACTGTGTGATTCCTTATAAAATCTAGTTTTTAGCAAGAACCTTGCTGAGTCACTTTAACAAGAGCCCCCCACCCTCCATGTCTGATCCTCCTCAATACCTAAACCAGTTCATGCTCCACCATCACCCCAGGGTGATGCCTGATCACCCTGGCTTGTCTTCAGCAAGAATCCTGTCAGGTCAGTTTAGCCAAAAACCCTTATCCCTGATGTTTCCTCTTTCAACTTTCCCATCCACTGACCCCATTCTGTTCCTTGCTATAAATTCCCATTAACCATATTGTATTCAGAACTGAGCCCAGCTTTACACTGAGGTCTTTTCCCCTATTGCAGTAGTTCTCAATGTTTTTACCACTCTACTGTTCAGCTCTGGCTTTTCACACACCTGGTTTTCAGATGTGTGAAGAGGAGCAATAAGAGATAAGGCCATACAGATATGTATAGACCAGCTCAAGGAAAACCTTGACTACACAGCTAAGAAGTCTGAATATTATTCTGTAAGAAGGGAGAAGCCACTGGAACTTTCTGATAAAGAAGTGACAAGATAGGTATAGTGCTTTGGGGAGATTAACTTGAAAGAAAATAAAGATATTAATCCATTAGACTATATAATCCAGGGGAGAATAAAGACCTAAATGAACTCTATTTTAGGAGCAAAGGAAATGAAGAGGAACTAGAACTATGAGATTGTAGAATCAGATTGACAGAACAAGACAATCAAGATAATTGCCTAAAGTTTACTCTTCACATGTGCCTCCCCATTTCACATCCAAGCCACCTAGGCCTCCCACCAAGTGCAACCCAGGGGAGGTCTTCTATTCTCTGATATCGTCATATCTCACTGGGCAAGTTCAATCACATTTCCTCATCTGCAATATGAGATTATACTAACATTTGCCTCACACAGGTTGTGAGAATTAAATGATGTAATATATGAAAAGCACCCAGGCAGAGTAATAGTTGAAGCTATAGAAGTAAATGAGTTCTAAGGATAATGGCACAGAGACAAACTGATACCATGACCGAACATTAAGAAATTTTGTTAGAGATTGATGAGAATAATAATCAAGAGAATTGGGTGAATGAAATATTATGGAAATAGTTTCAAAGATATTTAAAAAACATTTTTCATGCAATGGTCCCTATCAGTCACATGTCCCACTGAGAAGCCCTAAGTCATGATCTTTTTGGGGCGCAGCTCAGCACCTGGGCAGAGAAGTTGGTCATTCACATGTAATGATTATTCATCACTTAGTAGTTTTACCTGTTCAGGGGTCTTCCCCAGAGCTCCACATAAGTGGCCATGCTCAGGCCTACCTTAACTGTCCTGCCTGGAATCTCCTCTCACTTACTACATATTATGTCTTGTAAGACTTAGCTCATTTACCTCCTAGAAATTTTCTCTATTACATTACTATTTCTTTCTTCTGTTAAATTTTTAGGCTCTGTCCTCATTAATCATCTTATAAATCTGCTTTTGGGGCTCAGAAACCTGCATTACATTACTTGAGCAGCCTAGTGATTCTAATATAACTCCATGATCTACACTTTGAGGAACAAAGTCAATCTGCATGTACATGGTGAATGTCAGAGAAGAGCCAAAAAGATGTTTCATTATAACTTTGAAAAATTAAAAACTATTAGGTGGTCAATCACGTGATCCAAAATTTTTCAGAGGCCAGAGTTGCAGACATTTCCTGATATTCTCAGTAACTGTAACATCCTCCCACCAACAGCCAAACTAAGAAATCCAAATATGCCCATTGCTACCCAATATCCAAGTATGTTCTTGTCAGGGATCCCATGCCCAGTAACACCTTTCTAGTTTGGGGTATTGATTTTAAGCATCATATCACACAGAATATGCAGCACATAAAATCCTACATGTGAGTATAAACATGAACTGTGTAAATGATTGGTCTATGGCAATAGCTAGTAAAATATGAGAGTCTTGACAGAAAGGTCACGTTTGTGACTAAAAGAGAAATCATCTGTAAAATTTTAAAGATTCTACTTACAATCACTGTTTCCTGTACAAAATGAAATAAGTTTAAACAAATTTGGCCCCTGCACAAAAACACACTCAATCTCTCCTTCTGAAAAACTATTCTCTTTAATAGTGCACTTCATTTATGCTACAAGATGAGCAGAATTGAGAAAACATAATGAAAGGTTATCCCTTTAGCAGGGAAAACTCAGGAGCTCCATCCTAACCCTGCCATCAGGCTCAGGCCAAAGCCTTCCTTCCCTGGGATTTGCTCTTTATTTGCATCACACTTTGCTACTGAAGTCAGAGGGGAGGTCAGGCGAGGTCTGGCTGCTAGGGCCAGATATCACAGGTCACAGGTGACAGAGGGCAGGGCAAGCAGGCTGAATGAGCTTCTTAAAAGTATCCTTAGTAACTAGGGGTTTAGATTAAATCACATATCACAGGAGCAGTGAGAGGCAGAATGTGGTGAGAGGAAATGAAGAGGCCAATGATAAAAGCTTTTGATCCATTCCCCACTCCCTCATGTTAGACACACTGATTAGATAGATTTCCCAGTTAGTCTTATCACAAAAGGGAGTGAGGGGGGTTCTCCAACAAAACTGCCAGTCTGCTCTTGGAAACTTGGTCTTGCTACTCCAAGGGCCCCAGAGGATACAGTTACCACAGAAAACCTCCCTCAGTAAAATAACAAATCCCTCAGCATCCAATTTCCATAATTAATGAAGTCATGAAGTAAAATAATACATTCCCTATCAAAACTTAAAGGTGGATTAGAAACAGTGGCTTTCAAATATAGCCTTTTCCCACTCTTAGGAAATAACAGGACCCAGAACATTCCATTGCCTTCTGTGCTGACTATACTGACTCTAACTAGAAGAATCCTTAGAATTTTATTCCCACTGTGCTTCCATCCCCACCTTGGAAAGGCTCCCTTGGTGTGAGAAACAGTCTAGTGCAAACTGCCTTCCAAAATAGAAGGTGATTGGTCCCAGAGATTCCCTCTATTCCCAGTACTTAATCTGCTGCTTGCCTCATAATCTTTCAAAGCTGGTCTATCATTCCTGGGGAAACAGACTAGGTTGCTAATCACTGTGCCAGGATGATTTGCCTAATTTGCCCCATTAAGTGAAAGGTTCGCATCACAAGGGGTGTATCCTAAGTTGTTCATACTTTTATAGTAAGGCAGGAGCTCTTTAGACTCAGAAAAAGTGAGAAAAACGGGGGTACGGCTCTCTTTCATGTCGACTCTCTAATATTTAATTCAGCAGTAACTCTGAGAGAACTTTTGTTCATCCCTGTTACATTCAAAGGCTTCTCTCCAGTGTGAATTCTCTGATGGCGAACAAGAGCTGAACTATACCTAAAGGCTTTCCCACACTCACTACATTCATAGGGATTCTCCCCTGTGTGGATTCTTTGATGCTGAATAAGGCCTGAACTATAAGTAAACTTCCCTCCACATTCCATACATTCATAGGGCTTCTCTCCAGTGTGGATTCTCTGGTGCTGATAGAGGTGTGAGCTCTGGCTGAAGGCCTTCCCACACTCATTACATTCATAGGGCTTCTCTCCAGTGTGGATTCTCTGGTGATGAATAAGGGTGGAGCTCCTACTGAAGGCCTTCCCACATTCGTTACAAGCATATGGTTTCTCTCCAGTGTGGATTCTCTGATGATGAGTAAGGGTGGAGCTCCAACTAAAGGTTTTCCCACACTCGTTACATTCATAAGGTTTCTCCCCGGTATGGATCCTTCGATGCAGAATGAGAGCAGAGCTACAACTGAAGGTCTTCCCGCAATCATTACATTCATAAGGTTTCTCTCCAGTGTGGATTCTCTGATGCTGAATTAGATGTGAGCTCTGGCTGAAGGCTTTCCCACATTCACTACATTCATAGGGTTTTTCCCCAGTGTGGATTCTCTGATGTTGGATAAGGTCTGAAGTTCGATTAAAGCTCTTGCTACATTCATCACACTTATGAGGTCTGTCTCCCACAGGAAGTCTCTGGTGAGAAATAAGGTTAGAACTTACAGTGAAGCTGTTCCGAAAATCATCATATTTCTCACTTCTCTCTCTCATGGGGGTTAGCTTTTCCTCAACTGTCACTTGATCAAAATCTTGTATCTTCCTATTCAGTCTTTCTCCAGAAGAGTTCCCCAGCTGCCTCTTTAGACTGACTTCTTGTTCATAGGCTTCTTCAAATTTAAGATCCTGAGAAATATCCTTCTGGAATCTTCCCAACAGCATCCCATGTGATCCTGTTTCTTCAGAAATGTCTTGATCATGCCCAGTTCTTGTCTCACCATCTGGCACAATACAAAATACAAAAATCACTTGTTCCTTGTGGAAGAAAAAAATCAAAACTAGAGGACTAGATAATCACGTGCAGGCCTCTTATCTGCCCAGGCTGTGTGTAGCTAAGGCAGAATAAAAGAACTGGGTCAAAGAAACAGGGAAGGAGAAAGGCAGGAATAAAACTGGGAAAAGAGCTGGAAGTATAAAGAAAGTTAGATATTTAAGGAGAGGATGGATCAGGCAAGCCAGAGAACCAAAAACAGAAGGAGGACGTTTAATGAAGTGACAAAGTCCTCAGAGAGGTTAGAGACTATAGATAGAATTAGGGAGATGATGACTCTCAAAACTCTCAAAACAGTTTTCCTAAGAAAAGTAGGGAAGGTAAGAAACAGTAGCAGAACAAGAAGGAGCAACAAAGGTGAGGTCACTAGTGACCGCTACAGCCCCAGATTAAAAGAACACTCATGTCTACAGTTGGGCCACATATGCCAAATCTATGGCAGTAGGCAAAAGACAGAGTTAGTCTATCTCTGGGCCTTAGGCCTAGGGGGCTATGCTGATGTGAGGCTATGTAAACAATTTCCATATTTGACTTCTCTATGTTCACTGCCTTGGGGTTTCTAAAAGAAACTTCAGGCACAGAGAATAAGCGTAAAGAGTTAGCATTTTTAGTTTGTCAACATTTTAAAAAGTAAATACAAGGCAATGAGTGTTAGGGACAAAAATGGCCAAACATGTCTACTCCTACATGTCTACTCAAAAATGGCCAAACATGTCTCACCCAAACATGTCTACTCAAGACCTTTATGTTCTCAGTTCCCTTCAAACCCAGGACCCTCAGCTCTTCCTCTTACTCCAGCCCAAAGAGCATGTCGAAATTCTTAACTGGGAATCCTGCTCATGGGACAAGGTTTATCCTGCTCATACCGAGCAGTCTCAGAGCTCAATTCCAGACTCAGAATCTGCAGGAGACAGAAAAAAATCTCAGGGAGGTCTCAAATATGAGTTAGGAAGATCTCCTGGCACTACTCAGGAAAATGTTCTCATTGAAAATAGGTGAGAGATGAGGAATTAACTAAAGTTTAAGAAGCAAACTGTTCCCTATTACAAATTAGAATTTCTATGAGAGCAGCAGTTGAACAAGGTCCTGAACAGAGCAACAAGTCCCTATAGTAGTCCAAAAGAGAAGGGGAAGAGACAGAGTTCCATATTATTCACTTGGGCACAGAGCAGTACCTCACACGTTCAGGGATCCCAATATGTTAAGCTTTTGGAAAAATCTTTGGAATCTTTGTTAAATCCTAAGACTAACATGGAAAAAAGTACCATATTTGGACTTAAAAAGACCAAGGCTAAAGTTCTGCCACTCACCGGCTATAGAACTATATGTAAAGCAGTTAAGACATCTGACCACTCTT